ATTTTATTAACATGTCACTTTTGAGATAAATCTTTTAAGTGGCAACGTGCTTGCAACACATCAGAATAGTTTCAGCAGTTATGGAATAATTACACAGCTTGCTTTTAAATATTTTGTTGCATACAGATTTATTTTAAAAAAATTAAGATAGGAATGATCCAGCTATAAAGTATTGTTTTTAGTGCTATAGTAAGAACAAAAATATATAAATATTTTGGGAAAGGAGGTTAAGAATGGTTTTTAAAATTTCATAAGGATAATATCTCACTTCCATGAAAACAGCACCCCAAAATTAGAAACTGGTACTGAACTTCCAATGTTATAATTTTCCATGCTGGGCAAATTCAGAGAAAATAAGTCAAAAGTAACGTACAGTGAAGTTTTTACAGAGGTGGATGATTATTGCCTGTTTGCATGGGGGATGACATTTTTAAATTATTAGCATATATAAACTGTTTTTGGTGTAGGGATAAAATTAATCATATATTAGATGAAACCGCACACTGAAGCCTCTTTTAATTCTACGTTAGAGATCCATTTTGAAGTAAAGATTTGTGCCAATTATGCAGTAAGTGAACTTGCTCAAAGTGTCACCCACCTGCCTCAGTGAGTGGGGAAACTTGATGAGGCTAATGGCAAAGAGAGACAAGCCCAGAAGTGAGGGAGGGGAACACTCTGTGAGGGGCACCATTGTAGCTGCTGCTCCTCTGCTCTGGGAGGCTCTGTCACAAGTTGGAAGGGAGGAGTGCTGACTGGTCAACATCCCCCAGCTCCTGGAGCACGGACCATGTGGTGTGGAACCACTGTTGGGTCCGTTCCTGCAGTGAGAACTACATAGGAGACATATGAAGCTCCGTTGACACTAATTGATCACTAAAATGACTGTTTTCTCAATTGTAGTTTATTTAAGATACTTATTTAAGGTGGAATACTAGTAGATGTGGTGTGGCATGTTTTTACAAAATATGGTAATCTTTATGACACTTGACTTCAGCAATCTCCTGTGAAATTTTTCCTGAGAAGTGGAGTGAGACCACATTTTTTGTGTGTGCAAATTACAGCACCGTTGGGATAGCAGAGTGCAGGATAGTAAGACCCTACTGTGCGTATTATACCTTGCAAACCTCCATAAAGAAATAACACTTCAAAAAATAATTAAACAGTACGTACCAGGTTACCCTACTTACTAGAACTTGAGAAGAAGTCATGACTCTTTTTACCCTTTTGCATTAAATAGAAACTTAGCTGACTCATTCATTTAAGTATTTTATTAAGAGTTGAAATTTCTAGACTTTTCCTTCTTTCTCCTGAAAATTTAACAACACAGAAAGTGACCAGATTCATGTTTAATACTGCTATATTGATGTTTCATAATTACAAAGTTGCTTTTTTATGGATTCCCAGACATACCAATGTTAATTTAAAAATGATTTCAAAGAATGAATATTTTTGTTTTTATATTGCTTAAAACTTACACTAAAGATAGTAATTAAAGTGTTTTATAGTTTTTCAGAATATTTGCATAGTGTATTATGTAAAGAGTATACACCAACATTTCTCAGAGTAGCAGCCATGTTAGTCTGTATCCGCAAAAGAAAAGGAGGACTTGTGGCACCTTAGAGACTAACAAATTTATTTGAGCATAAGCTTTCATGAGCTACAGCTCACTTCATCGGATGCATTCAGTGGAAAATACAGTGGGGAGATTTGTATACACAGAGAACATGAAACAATGGGTGTTACCATACCCACTGTAACGAGAGTGATCAGGTAAGGTGAGCTATTACCAGCAGGAGAGTGCATGGGGCGGAGGGGGGAGTGGGGACCTTTTGTAGCGATAATCAAGGTGGGCCATTTCCAGCAGTTGACCAGAACATCTGAGGAACAGTGGGGTGTAGGTGGGGAATAAACATGGGGAAATAGTTTTACTTTGTGTAATGACCCATCCACTCCCAGTCTTTATTCAAGCCTAAGTTAATTGTATCCAGTTTGCAAATTAATTCCAATTCAGCAGTCTCTCATTGGAGTCTGTTTTTGAAGTTTTTTTGTTGAAGAATTGCCACTTTTAGGTCTGTAATCGAGTGACCAAAGAGATTGAAGTGTTTTCCGACTGGTTTTTGAATGTTATAATTCTTGACATCTGATCGTGTCCATTTATTCTTTTACAAAGAGACTGTCCGGTTTGGTCAATGTACATGGCAGAGAGGCATTGCTGGCACATGATGGCATATATCACCTTGGTAGATGTGCAGGTGAACGAGCCTCTGATAGTGTGGCTGATGTGATTAGGCCCTATGATGGTGTCCCCTGAATACATATGTGGACACAGTTGGCAACGGGTTTTGTTGCAAGAATAGGTTCCTGGGTTAGTGGTTCTGTTGTGTGGTGTGTGGTTGCTGGTGAGTATTTGCTTCAGTTTGGGGGGCTGTCTGTAAGCAAGGACTGGCCTGTCTCCCAAGATCTGTGAGAGTGATGGGTCGTCCTTCAGGATAGGTTGTAGATCCTTGATGATGCATTGGAGAGGTTTTAGTTGGGGGCTGAAGGTGACGGCTAGTGGCGTTCTGTTATTTTCTTTGTTGGGCCTGTCCCGTAGTAGGTAACTTCTGGGTACTCTTCTGGCTCTGTCAAACTGTTTCTTCACTTCAGCAGGTGGGTATTGTAGTTGTAAGAACGCTTGATAGAGATCTTTGTCTCTGTCTGAGGGGTTGGAGCAAATGCGGTTGTATCGTAGAGCTTGGCTGTAGACAATAGATCATGTGGTGTGGTCTGGATGAAAGCTGGAGGCATGTAGGTAGGCATAGCGGTCAGTAGGTTTCTGGTATAGGGTGGTGTTTATGTGACCATCTCTTATTAGCACCGTAGTGTCCAGGAAGTGGACCTCTTGTGTGGACTGGTCCAGGCTGAGGTTGATGGTGGGATGGAAATTGAGTACCTCTCCAACTCATCATCAAGGATCTACAACCTATCCTGAAGGACAACCCATCACTCTCACAGATCTTGGGAGACAGGCCAGCCTTGCTTACAGACAGCGCCCCAACCTGAAGCAAATACTCACCAGCAACCACACAACCCCCCGCTGTTCCTCAGACGTTCTTGTCAACTGCTGGAAATGGCCCACCTTGATTATCACTACAAAATGTTCCCCCCACCCCCGCTCTCCTGCTGGTAATAGCTCACCTTACCTGATCACTCTCGTTACAGTGTGTATGGTAACACCCATTGTTTCATGTTCTCTGTGTATACAAATCTCCCCACTATATTTTCCACTGAATGCATCCGATGAAGTGAGCTGTAGCTCATGAAAGCTTATGCTCAAATAAATTTGTTAGTCTCTAAGGTGCCACAAGTCCTCCTTTTCTTTTTACCAACATTTCTGTTGTTACTTTTAAAATATGGAAGTGTGTCCTGTGAAGCCTTATTAATAATAGCAAAAATATCATTGCATGGTATGTTGCAGTTAGGGACTTCCCCAGTGTTTTATGGCTTTGTGGCTCATTAGCCACAAATATATTCTTCCTTTGCAGGAATTCTGTCAGTTTCTTGTGATGAAGCCTCTTTGTTACTTCATAAGAAGTCACAGATGTGTGAAAAGTAGGCCACAGGTCGAAGGCTGCATGCCCCCTACCCCTACAAATTGAAAGTGACAGACACCTCCCTGCTCTGCCACTAATTTGCCTCCATGTTAAATGCCTCTGAAGCACTAATTAAAATGAAAACTTCTTGAGTCCTACCAACAGACTGATTGAGTTATTTATGGTGGAAGTGGTCACCAACGGTAATTGCAGCACATCCTTGAACAAATAGAAATTTTTGCACTCAAGAATAGCGCCAGGCTGACAGGGGTCATAGAGTTCAAGCCCACTGAAACAAGAGGCCAAAGAAAGGCAAAATCAGTGTTCTGTTCATCTTAATACAAAATCTCCTTTGTCTTGGTTAACTGCTTAGGTGTCCGAGTTGCTTTTTAGTCCTTTGAGACCTAATTATGCTTCCTTTAACTAATCACCATAAAAACTTCATTAGGGAATAATGTGACTACTACTGCTGAATTTTAATTTAACCATGATACTTGTCTACTGTGGTCCTGAAAAGGTGACTTTTAAATTTGACAGTCTTGCCTATTTCTTTTCAATGAATGAACAGATTATAATTTTTTAAAACTTTTTAGCCAAGTGCACATCCATGTAACAGCCATGATTTTTCAGTGGAGGCTTACTGTCCGCACAAAACTGCTCATTGGAAGCCAGGAAGATACTAATGTTCTAAGATGGGGTTAGAGAGCATATTAATAATTGATTTCACTGGTGTTGCATGCTGGAATGCAGCATCTTTTTCAAAAAGAGGGCACAGATACTACATTAGATGTTTCTTAGAGCCTGAATGTAAAATTAAACTCACTAAATATATTTTTAAGATTAACTTTTTAAGTAGTCTTGTACAGTACGCCTAACTTGTTATAGTAGTAAAAATAAATGGTTAAGTTGACTTCCTTGCCATGAAATTATATTTTTCATTGACATGCTGGCCGCTCTTTATGCTTTTTCTCAAGTGTGATGGCAGAATGTACTGTGATTTTGTTGCAGTAGAGACCTGGAAAATTATAGATAAAAGTTCTTGCTCACAGTTTAGTAATATAATAGGAATAAATTATAATAGGTGTCAATATAACCATTTTAAAACACGATTTACACACTAATGTATTCAACAGCATGATACCAATATGTGAGCCTGAATTACAGTCATCTGTTGTGGGCTAATAATCTTGATATGCATTTGAACCACATGTTGTATTCCCAAGTATTTTGTCATGTAGCTTGAATAGTAAATCTTATGATCATTAAAACTAGCATTTATGTTGGGGCTAATGCATCTTAATGAATGTATTCAGTAGGCTAGTTGTATTGTGTCCACTGAAAACATTTTCTGCCTTTTTTTTTCATCTTTCAGAAGGCTTGGAGGAATTTTAAACATTTGCTTAACACCTTAATTTCACTTTCTTTCAGGAGACAAGTTGGAATATTTATTAAATCATCACTACTGTCAGCCACCAAATCTCATTAGGCTTCACTGAACAAACCAAGTTTAAAATTTGTCAAGCAGCAGGACCAGTTGCTAAAGGTGACAGTGCACGGGAAGGATTAAAAGTGAACCATGACTCAACTGAAACTATACGTCAGATTACTAGGAGCCTATCTGTTCATCAGTCTTCATATTCAAGGTAAATTCATATTCATTTAAATAATCTCATTTTTTTTTAATAATCTTTCATTTGGAGTGGCTGTAAATTCCAGTGGTTTTATGATATGGGTCCTGTTCAAATATCTGAATGTACAGTACTGTTCTTTTACGAGAGTAAAGATTGTGTGGCTAATCAGTTGCATGTTTGTGTTAGAAGATTGTGAGGGAGTAAATTTAGTAATGAGTGTTTAAATTGATTTAAATGTTAAGTCTTTTCTATCTCTCTTTCTCAGTGTGCATGAGTGAGTCTCACTAATTGTGATTGATATCATGTCTGCATAAAAGGGATGACTTTATTTATATTTCCTTACGCAAATGTGGATAACTTGTATTTTCTTTTTGGATCTGATATCATGGGCATGTATAGATGTTACTGTGGACAAGTGATCAGTCAGCCTCAAACTGTCCAAAGAAGTACGCAGAATTGCTGATGACTATCCACGGTACAAATTATGAAAGTGTGAAAATCATGTTCTGAACATATGCAGTAGTTTTCTGCTAAGTTAATTACATATGCGCATCACTACTTACCCTGAGAGCTCCAAATTAGCACTTCTAAGTGTTTTGGGAAACTAGGGTGTGTTGGTAAATAGGAGTACTTGTGGCACCTTAAAGACTAACCAATTTATTTGAGCATAAGCTTTCGTGAGCTACAGCTTGCGAATACAGACTAACACGGCTGTTACTCTGAAGCCTTGGTAAATAGGATCTTCTTGTTGCTTTCCTTGTGGAAAAAGCTCCCTAGCCTAAGGGAATATGTAAACGACTGGGAACCAGGAGGGCTGCTTGTACTCTATTTGCAGCACTTCACAACCCTTACTTTGAGTGATCTGTTACTACAGCCTTGATGGCTGAAATCTGGAAGTTGCAGTTTAGCATAGAAATACTTATTGAGTGGTAGTTCATGGCCTTGTTGAAGCAGGGGAACTGCTTTTCATTTGCGCAAGCTGTAAGCCTTTGGAAATTAAGTACTGTGCATGTACATCAGTGTTTCTGTTACGTTTCAGAGCACATGTAAGAGAAGATGTGCTATATGTCCATCCAGAAATGGGCAAGGAGAAATCTTCTATTGAGAGGAGGAGACCTATACCATCAGTTTCTTCAAAATTTGAGCTTTCATTCAAAACCAAAAACCTGGAAAATTGTAGTTTTATGAAAAAAGAAAAGGAGAACTTGTGGCACCTTAGAGACTAACAGATTTATTTGAGCATAAGCTTTCGTGAGCTACAGCTCACTTCATTGGATGCATTCAGTGGAAAATGCAGGTTGCAGAGGAGTTCACAAACATACACAGGGCATACCCGAGTAGAGTTCTTTCCTAAGTCTACAGACTGCTCCAGTACCACTGCATTGATTATAGCTTTTCCAAACAGCTGTGCAGTTAACAGGACTCTAGACAGTTTGACTGCTATTATTTAGTGCATATATGTAAACAGGTTAGCAGCTTCTTGCCAGACGCACATCAATCACTACTTGATGTCATATGGATGGCTCAGTTTTATTTTTAGATGTCACTTGAGCTGCTTATTCTTCATGAGTAAGAGCCCTCCGAAGATGGAATTAGATGTAAAGGGAAAATTATTTTGTAGTTCTCCATGTGATGGGTCTTCTCTGTAACTTGAAGTCTTCAAATCATGATTTGAGGACTTCAGTAACTGAGCCAGAGGTTAGGGGGTCTATTACAGGAGTGGGAGGGTGAGGTTCTGTGGCCTGCAATGTGCAGAAAGTCAAAGTAGATGACTGGTGCCTGTGCCCTGGATGCCCCTGTGCCGTCCGACCTGAGGGCATCAAGGGCAGAGAGGTCTCTGCTGTCCCTCACTTTCTTCTGAATTCCTTTGGTGGTGAGAGAGCTCCCCCTGTCTGATTCTCTGCACACATTATGACTTTGCTACTCTTTTATATAGTTAGGTTAATATAGGTTTTTCAGGGTTTTTTTTAATAGTGGTAGGCGTGACACGCACCCCAAGTTCTTCGCAGTTATATTGTTGTGATCTGATTAAGATATAATTATGATGTATTTTATGCAAGATAAGTCGTGCAGGGTGTCGTTGGAGAGGTTGTGATTTGCTGAATGTGATTGTCCTATTTGTATGTGTGTATCTTCTTTGTATCTGAGGTTATGACTATTGACTATGTATCTGTATTTCAGGTATAGTTGCACCTGGGTGGTGCCCACTGGACAGGATGCTTTCAATCTGGATGGTGGGTGGGGAAGGGCCTGTTCAGGGCAGTGGGTCATTGGGAAAAAAACAGAGGGCCTTTGGGGGGAGGCTTGTCTCCTACCTGGGGAGTCTTCCTGAGAGCGCTACAGAAAGCCTCCAAGTGATGGCTGCTGTGACTCTGCAGGAACATGTGATGAGACCACATGTCTCTGGACTCCCATCTTGGGATGTCAGTGTTTTTCCATGGACCAGGCTGGGAACCAAGTTTTGGGAACAAAAGGTTCCCACCATATGCAAAGGCTGTCTGGGGCAGGGAGTGACATCATCTGGTGTTCTTCACTCCCCACCCAGGAAGACTCCTGGAAACACCTGAGCAGCGAAGACTGAACTGGGGGAAGTGCTGAACCCAGGCTAAAGGGATTTTTAGCCTGTGAATAAAACAGCTGGCTTTGCAGCTTGGAACCCCCAAGTGCAGCTTGCCCCTTAAGAATCTACAGCCTGCTTGTATAATCTTTTAGGTTGAGAATCTGATATTCATATTAAATCTATTTAGTTTATTAAGTTTAGTTTGCATTTTTGTTTATTTGCTAGGTAATCTGCTTTGATCTGTTTGCTTTCACTTACAATCACTTAAAATCTGTCCTTTGTAGTTAATAAACTTGTTTTTGCTTTATCTAAACAAGTGAGCTGAAGCCCAACAGTCTCCGAGGAGAGACTTTAACAAGGGTAAAGGATCTCCTGCGAGATCTTTACCCTCTGTATTGACAGCGCAGAAGGCAGGCGTCTCAGGCTGTCATAACACCTCAACCGCGGCTTCCGCAGAGGCAGGAACCTGACCTCCCGTGCCGGGAAGGCTTCTGCGGCACCGAGCACTTGAGTGCTAAAAATAGCCACGGTGCGGACCACGTGCTCTGATCAGATGCCGACAAGAACATCAGCACCGACCCCCTCTGGGCTAAAAATAGCTGCTGTGCAGGTTGCGTGCTCTGCTCCGCTGCCGACAAGAACTTTGGCACCAACCCCCTCCAGGCTAAAAATAGCTGTGGTGCTGACTGCGCGCTCTGCCTCGGTGCTGGGAAGAACGTTGGCATCAAACCTGCCTCCAGCACCAGCAGTGGACCCCCTGCAGGGCTCCTCCACACGCCCTGAGGCACCAGTGAGGCTTTCAATTGACAATGCGCTAGAGCACAGTTCAAGCTAAGCACAGCCCAGGGAGCAGGAGCAACAGTTTCTCACTCAAGATGACCTCAGTACCACCTGAGCCTAACTCCCTGCTCCTGGATACACAGGGCTCATTTTTTGAACAGCCGCTCTCCGCACCTGAACTGGCTACCTTTACTGATAGCGAACCTGATGTACCAGAAGGCGGAGTTCTCCCCACCTGCTTCTCCTCCTCCACCGGAATCTTTTCCGCCTCAAGTCACGGCTCACAACCACCAGTCTTAGTTTCCCTACTGTACCCCTCCGTAGACAGCACTGGGTTCTCCTACCTTATGCCTTGGCCTCAGTGGTACCCTTGGCCACATCCTCCTACCACTCACCCTCAGACCTCTTCTACCGAACCACTACCTCCTTCTGTGCCTCTATCTCCAGCTCCATCCACTTCTAGGGTGCCTGAACCCCTCCTGAGAACATGAGCTGTGGACCATATCCTAACTTACTGACCCTTGGCTCTCCATCGGCTCCAGACGGAACCCTCTTCCCTCCGCCTCCACAGAACATGGACGACTGTAAACAATTTCAAGAACTTTTCAAGAGGGTGACACTCAGTCAAGACATCCCCTTAGAAGAGGTTCAGGAAACACAACATAGGCTCCTCAGAATCCTTCAACCCTCTGTGCCCTCAAAGATCGCGCTCCCCATAAATGAGGCACTCTTGGAGCCAGCTGACACACTCTGGCAAACTCCAGCTTCTTTATTACCAACTTGCAAAAGGCTGAACGTAAATACTATGTTCCCGCTAAGGATGCTGACTTCCTATTTTCTCATCCACAACCGAACTCTCTTGTCATAGATGTAGTTGCACAACGGACAAAACAGCCGCAATACAAGGACCTTAAATGCCTTGACGTCTTCAGTCGCAAGGTTTTACACGTCCTCCACTCTACAATAAACTTTTCGAATTTGCCTCCTACATTCCAGAGGATATGAGATCAGACTTTAAATCAATCCTGGTTGAGGGCCAATTAATTTCCAGAACGGCCCTACAAGCAGCTCTGCTACTGCAACTACTGTGGTTAAATGCAGATCTTCATGGCTCTCTGCATCTGGCATCCCTAAAGATCTGAAGACCAAAGTGGAGGACCTCCCCTTTGATAAGGATAAACTTTTCTCCAAAAAACCTGATGAACTCCTCCACACCATGAAAGATTCTAGAGCAACACTGCGCACCCTGGCATTCACCCATCTTTTCCCAGGAGACAACAATACCAACCCTACCAAAGACCACACACACAACAGCATTATAAGCCTCAACCCAAATCATACGCCATAACTAGGAGTCGCACTACACCCCCTTAGCACAGACAAAATCAAGCTCAAGCAGCCACCTCCCACCCACTGGGGAATAAACAACAATTTTGAAATATTGGTCAAGGGTCTGCAGGACACCCCCTTGAATCCACCGCCTGCTTGCCCGTTTGGCCACAGCCCCAGAGTTTCCAACATGCCTGGCAGTGGATTACACAGGACCGCTGGGTCTTTGAAAGAGTTCAGTCCGGTTACTCTATCCCCTTTATATCCTACCGTTCCCCCTTTCCTGTCCCTTTTCAGGGACCCCTCTCACGAGCACTTACTTCGCGTAGAAGTGGCTTACCTT